TTGCTGGAGGATTTGCTTTTCATTCATACAAAACAAACATTATACTACAAAATCAAATCGACCATAACAAAAATGCAAGGTATATTTATGTTCTAAATTTAATCTTACCTTTGACTGTGGGGAAGACAATTTTGAGCTAAATCAAAATTTCTTCATTTTCAGATGGATCAGAGCAGCACTCTCTCGTATATGTCTTGGCGACTGCTGGTTACGTCCAGGTGTTGGCAAGATACGAACCCAAGCACAAACATTATTTCCAAAGCTCAGCCAAATTGTACAACATACAAATGAAATACAACTCATTGTTGAGGCGTTAGAGTCTAATTTGCCAAGAATATTAAATGCATTGGCTGAATATACAACCGATGAAGAGATTTCAGGTTATTTTTGCTATTACTATAGAATTCCAATTTTTTACACTTGCATTATTATGTCTTATTATCTCTTTTTATCCTCTTTGATAAAACAGAGACAAAATTATATGTATAAGTGTCACTGCAGTTGAATTCTACATCTATCTATTTACAGTTGAATTTAAATAAGCAAAAGTCTACTGGACTGACAATATTTTTCTTGCTTATAGAGACTTATCTCTTACTCAAGTTGCCTGCTTATGGAGGTTGTCCATTGGCACTAGACAAGCCCTCTTGCTTATCAAGTCGCTAGTTGTGTTAGTCTCTATACAGGGTGGAAACTTCCAGCGGGACAGTAAGGGGAAATACTTTATCTGTTGCAGCTACACTTAATCTTAGGATCACCCTGTATATGTTAACATATTTGGAAGTAAATACGTGTAATTTTGAATATTTCAGAATTATCTAAAGCATTACTATCACATGTGGATTGCTCAGAAGCTTCTGTACGGAGAGGGATAGCCAATTGTGTAGCGCATCTCACTTCACATAGAGAACCGTTGCTTACTAATATATTGAATAAAGTGTTTGGTAAGTATTGTAGATACGAATATTTCCTTTTAATCAATAAGTAAACTGTTTTCAATATATCCTATACTAGCTGCCTACGACTATGTCCACACTGAACTAAAAAACAACTTTATAAATAGCCTATGTGGTATTCCCGACTATTTTCTATATATATGCCAAATTTCAGCGAGATCCGTTAAGCTGTTCTGGAGATACCTTCAAACAAACATGCATTGATGACACAAGAAATTCAAAATTCAATGTTGCCTTGGCTCCTTAACTTGGAAGACCTGTACTTAAGGAGCAAAGAACTTCCCATACATATAAATTTAATAATTGTTTGTGTAGAAAAACAATTAATTTAGACATTCATCCATCTAAACATTCGCATTTATAAAATTAGTATGATTTACAAGTTGCAGCAAAAAATATATGTTTTGTCTATTGTATATATTTTAGGTTTTTATTGAAATTAAATATATGTACAAATTGATTTAATTTCATATAAGCTTTAAAATTAATATTGTCACAGAATTGAACATTATAACGGTGGGTTTCTGAGACCAAAATCCTCCTTTAAATGAGTTATCACTGTTTTATCAAAGATAAGCAGGGTTGATGATTTTATACATAGAGTTTGGTTTCAGAAACCTATTGTAAGTCATATTGTGTACAAGTAATGTCATTTTGTTTTCAGAAAATCTTTGGCCGACAGCGGCGAGTGATACGATTATTGTCGGATGGTTTTGCGTCATCAAAGCCATGTTCCAGATCAATGATATGGAGAAATTCACAGATAACGATTTATTTGGTGTTCAAGATTATTTAGAGGTATGTCATATAAGCGAGAGCGTCGGTGGCTCAGTGGTCAAGCACTTGCAATCTGCAGGTCCTGGGTTCGAATCCCGCCATGTACCAATGTGTTTTCCCATTTTCGATTTACATATGTACATTTGTCAGGCGTTCTTACGATGAAGGAAACATCGTGATGTCTGGACATATCTGAGAAGAAATTCAAAGATATGTGTGAAGTCAACCAACCCGCACTTGGCCAGCGTGGTTGACTGTGGCCTAATCACCCTTAACTTAGGGTAGGCTCCGAGCCCCTCGGTGGAGACGTATAGTGAGCTGATGATTGGCAGTATTCTAATTAGTCAATAAAAACTATAGTTTAATTTCTTTTTTTTCCAGCTCTATCATCTATGCATACATTATTTGGAACAAACAACAACTGAACATAATGTACAGAATGCAGTGATGGAATGTCTCTCCGTGTTATTGTCACAAGCCAACGCTGAACAAAGGAGAGCTTTGTTGGACAAACATCCAAGATTAGTTTGCTTAGATGATAGGAAGAGTGAAAAGGGACATCGAAGGCATATAAGTAAGTTTTTATTAGTTAATGCAATTAGTTTATTTTTTAACTTGTCAAAGTATTATTGGGTTTATTGGATATAAGTTAAATTGTTTGATTTTTTAACTGAAATTAGGACTTCAGGACCTCATTTAATAATACTTAACAGTGGTAGAGCGCTTTAACATATGTTGCATGAATTGGCCAAGTGGTCAAGTGGAAGAAATTCCAACTACATTCTGATGATTATGGTATCGGAGGATTAATTTTAGTTCTCTTTTCCTTCCCATCTTTTTTAAGGAATGGATGGGAAGTAAAAGTGGATTTTCCGGATATAGGTATGCATGGGAAGGGAAATAATCTCTTTCTGTGCATCCCATCCTCTGTTGATTAGGTATTCCAGCGATTTTAGGTTGATATTTCGTTTAGCACCTTATAATGTTACTAATATTGCGAATGTGTTGCTGGATGGATGGATGTTTGGTTGAAGATATCTCCGGAACAGTTGCATAGATCTCTTTGAAATTTGGCATATGTATAAAACATAGCCTAGAACACATAGCCTACTTACTACTAATTATTTAATGCACGATACACGGAATCGCGAGTGCTGGTATAAAAAAAATGTTGTATATTAGGTTCAGTGAGCGCGGTGTCGTGTCGCAGCGCGCCCAGTCCGTTAACTGAGGGTCGCGAGCTGGACGTGCTGGTGCGCGGCGCGCTGCAGCTCGGCAGTCTGCTGCAGCTTACCACGCCCAGCCTCAGTGTTGAAGATCTCACTATACAGGTACTAAAACACTACAGTTTGCCTGAGAATTCATCAGCGCAAGATAAAAAATAGCCTATAACATGCCCATATGCATTAGCAACCTCCTCCAAGTCCGGTCAAAATCGGTCTACCAGTTCCGGAGATTACCCGGAACAAATGTGGCCTTACAACAAAAATGTTAACAATAAGATTTTGGCTTATTTATTTTATACTAGCTGTCGCCCGCGATTCCGTCCGACCGGATTTAAAAAAAACGCTATCGGTCGCCTAAAGTCTTCCTCTATAAATGGACTATCGAACAAAAAAATAATTTTTCAAATCGGACCAGTATTTCCTGAGATTAGCGCGTTAAAACAAACAGACAAACAAACTCTTTCGCTTTATAAAATTAGTATATAAATTAGTAAATGTCCTCTGAATATGATTTTTTATATAGATATAAGGAAATAAATTCTTGTATCATTGGATTTAATCTCACTAGCGTTATTGTAAAATGTTATTATTTCATGTTTCCGATGAACTTATAAGAGTTAATTAAAAGTGACTAGATTCACAATTTGTTTGTGACATATATTAATAAGTCTTGACTTACTGGAAAAGGGAGAAGACAAAAACTTCTAGCACAACATTCAATAGTAATAATCATTTTATTTGTACAGACACCAGATTCACCGGCAAGTGACAAAGATATACAGCTACGGGATGCTGAACAACTGTCCAAGGAGTTAGCGGAGAAACTGGAAGAAATGGATGTCACCGACCACTGTGATGATGATGTTCATATACATGATACCTCTTTTAAGGTACGTATATAATATAGACTTATATACATAAAAATAAAAAAGATATGACGGCTAGAGAACTAGGGAAAGTGAACAGATGAATATGAAATTTGATGTAGTTAAAGAGGAAGAGATAAAAATATTAAGTCACTTAAAATTTATCTCCACTTTGACTGCACCTGACCACCTGAATTCGCCGAAATGGCGAAGCGACCGTTGCCCGTAGACATACACAATTCACACATTGCCTATAGATGGAAGATGAGATGCACAGAAAGAGAATATATTCCCTTATGCGTTCCTTATAAGAAGGGAAAGAAGGAAAATAGTTCTAAAGTTATGCCTTCGGAATGCATTATGTATATAAATCCTTTTTTAATTAAAAAAAAAGTGTCTTGACAGACAGACGGACGGATAAAAAAGTGATTCTATAAGAGTTCCGTTTTTTCCTATGAGGTACGGAACCCTCAAAATTGATAATTGAATTTTAACCAATAGGCGAAGAGTATAAGAGTATTCACATATCTTAGCAGCTCTGAAGTTCGCAGTGACCTTGAGCCGTTAAAATATTTGAAATTACTAATAGGAGTTGCATATTATCAATCAATTCTCTTCAGATAAATATCGGATCATCAAGTGATGATGACGTAGTACTGAAATACTGCGCGCGATTGTTGACCTCAAAGTTTCTACTGACTGGGAATAAAGGAGGGTTCATACCTGATAGGTGAGTAATGTATGTATAGATTTGTAAGGCAGTAGTTTTTAAAAAGCTAAAGATGCTTGTGGATGGATGGCAAAGATATCTTATTGATTTCATTATTTTCTGTTTTTATATAATACTAGCGGACCAGACAGACGTTGTCTGACAATTTGACACTGCGATGGTAGCGCCGTCTGTTGGATCCAATGTAAAACATTACAAAGTCAACAACTACTAATAAATTAAAAATTAATTAAAAAACATTGTCCAGCGGACAAAATTGTGAATGTAAACCATTCCCAGATCCCCTTGAACACACACAAAAAATTTCATCAAAATCGCTCCAGTCGTTTGAGAGAAGTTCACTGACATACACACTCACAGAAGAATTATATATATAAAGATAGGTTTTTTACTTTGGATTACACATCTAAAAATCTAGATTTTTGTGCTAAAGATCAAATTTAAGAGTTATTTTGTAATAAAATGTATTATAAAACTGTAAATATTATGGTATAGTATAGGAATTTGAATATGGGGCACACAAGCTTTGGGTACATTAATGGGGAAGGAAAATCGAAAGCTCGAGGTAGATGGCGCTAGCGTCAAGAAAGAGCTGTCATCTGTCATCTGTCAAATGTGTTATACGTCATTCTAGTGAATTTAAAAATGTATTTCTTTTTTTTTTGTTATAAATAAAATAACATTCAAAGAAATACTTTTTTTTTTTTAATTTTATGACTGAAATTTGACGGAAGTCTTTGCTATGATTTCTATATTTAGTGTTAAAGACAATTTTTCTTTGATTAAAAGTGGTGGTAGAAGAAATCCGAAACATTAAAGTGACATATACATTGCTTTCTGATTTGTGTCTACTGCCTACTCCTCTACGTTGATAGCGTGATTGATGTGACGTTGTTTCTCAGATCGATGAGAGTGTCAGTGAAGGCGTCAGCTTTGACCTGTCTGTCAGAGATTTTGCGCGTGTACCCGCAAGTTATGACTTTATATTTAGACAAAGATGCAGATATCAAACTGCAGAATTATTCCGGTAAGGCAAACCTTTTTAACTCAGACTCAGAGTCTTTCATAACTTAAGTACACTAAAGAATATGTAACTTTTGTCTATTGTATTTTGTTAGTAAACTTAATTTAATAATAACATTGGATTATAATAAAGTTTTTATTATTCTTTATAGAAGTGTTCAATAGCCTAAATTTTTTTTTTAATTTTGATTCGTCTAACCGTAGGTTTTTGAGACCAAAATCTCAGTTTAAAACATGTAATGTCTGTTTTGTCCTAGAAGTTAGTCTTAGAATCCTATGACGTGAATATCGCGCTTTCATTACAAAGTCAAGTGTCAGAGTGATTAGTGAGGGGACATGTCGACATTTTAATAAGGCTAGTGTTGCGCCAGTACACCGGCACTGTGTCGGATTTTCTTCTTAACAGTACATTGATTTTGGACTCAGGAACCCACGATAAATATATATAAAACAAGCTGTCAGCCGCGACTCGGTCCGCGCGGAATTAAAAAACTATTGATCGCAGCGTAATGTTATATAGCCTAAAGTCTTCCTCAAACGAAAAAATAATTTTTCAAATCGGACCAGTACTTCCTGAGATTAGCGCGTTTAAACAAACAAACAAACTTCCGCTTTATAATATTAGTATATTAACTCACATAATATATTATATAAGAATCTGTTTTTTTTTTTTTAAAATTGTGTTTTTTGGAAATTATATTTAAGTACGAATTACTAATAAAATGATGAAATGTGAATAATATTTTTCGATCTTACCTATAGATAAAGTTAAGTTTATGTTTAAGTTGATTATCGATAAAATACTTATAAAATGACATTTTCTAAAAATGATTCCTAGCTAGATCGATTTATCGCCCCCGAAACCCCCTATATACTAAATTTTATGAAAATCATTGGAGCCGATTTCGAGATTCCAATTATATATATACAAGAATTGCTCATTTAAAGATATAAGATTTGAAATAAACACTTAAATGTCAATTTTCTCCACTCAGGATCATCTGAAGGTGTTAATTACAGTCAGGATATCAACGATTTTATATTAGAAAGGAATGTTTGCTATCAAGATTCAATAACGGAATCAATAAGTCAAGAACTGTCACACAAGAGTACAGACAGTCATACGAACACACAGACACAACAATCAAAGAAAACAACAGATAAAACGGACAGTCCTGATCGTAAAAGTTCAAAGGACACACCATTAAATCTACAAGATATCAGACTTTTAGGGAAAATGGACCTTATCGCCAGTGGAATAAGTGCTGATAGTACTAACGCTAATATGACCAATAGTAATTTCACTTCAAATTCTAATATGACAGGAAGCAATGATCCTATATCTTCAGGTTACCCAATGTCTAGCAGTGGTGATGTTTTATCATCTAGTATAGATTTAGATATGAAATTCGATCATTTCGGTGAATCTAATACTCTAGATAATCTAGATTCATTGAAAGATCTAGAAAAGAAAGATGAGAGGAAGAAACGGAACGAAGAGTTTAAAAAAGAGAAGATAGAAGATGATAGGAGTGAGAAAGAGTTTGAATTTCAACATATGTGTGATGTGTTTGCATTAGAAGGTCACAGTGACCCACAGATTAGAGGTCTAGTTAGGGTCTGCATTGGAAATTATTTGATATCTGCTTTGGATTTATCTCATGGTGATTACAATAGATGGCGCTGGTATGCTGTTATGTCTAAAGATATTGCAGATTTTCTAAATATTGAAAAACTAATGGATATTTTATTAAAGGTAAGTGAAATCAAGGCTTAAAGTTTTTATGATGAAACTACTAAAAAGTCTTTTAGTCTAGACGTTTCAAAACTTCTTACTAACATTATAAATGCGAATAGAGTTGAGTTGTTAGAAATTATTAAATTAGCTCTTGTCTACGACTTCGTCCGCACGGAATTAAAAAAAAGTTAGTAGCCTATGTGTTCTTCCAGACTATTTTCTACATCTATGCCAAATTTCAAACAGATCCTTTAAGCCGTTCTGGAGATACCTTCGTATAATCATCCATCCATCCATCCAAACATTAGCATTTAAAATACTAATAAAGTTATAATTAATATTAGTATTAAACAGACTTACCTAATCTGCTTATCCCTCTAGGTGACAGGGGTGAGTATATTTTATTTATAAACCAGTATATTTAATATTGCAGGGTCTCTCGGATGACATCCATTCAACAGTGAACCATACATTGTCAGCGTTGACCAGTGTATCAAGAGCTCTATTCAACAGCGCACATTGGACGTTGATGATTGAAGCATTGAACTCTCTAGTAAATGTAGAGAATAATAATTACTGGTTGTGTAGAGTTAATTTGTGTAAAATGTATGAGAAATTGCCGTATGAAAAGTGAGTTGATTATTTAAATACTTTGAATTTTAGTAGGCCTGAAGTAAGAAACCGACTTATTGATCGAATCGGCCCAATTAGACTTTTTCCCAATCGGGCCGATTGAGTTCATATAATAAAAAAATATATATTTCCATTTTACCGCTTACTCGGTAAGCCAATCGGCCTAGCGGGATATATTTCCGATTGGGCCGATTCCGTTGATATAATTAATAAAATCGCCGATTGTTTATAAATTCAATATGTCCAATGAAAAAAAATCAAATGCTTGCTTGTGTGCTCGTTTTCTGTGTGTAAATTTTAAGTCAGTATCATTGAAACCTTCGCAAAAAATTATGAATTTAGTACAAAGACGTTATTTGTCTAGTCCATTTCTCAATATTCAAAGTTATTATTTAATAATTGTTTAGTTAACTGTTTTTGTTTATTTTTGTATTTGCTATGACGTCATATCGCGCGTTACACATTTATATTTGAAAATATTTGTATTACAGATTCTTCATGCTATGTCCAGAATACTATGCAAGAAGTAAATATATAATGAACACGCTGTTCCGTCTGCTCGCTGACCAGGATCAGAAGGTCAGGAATGCAGCATCACACGCTATTTCATTGTAAGCAAATTTATTTATACTAGAAAATAATTAGTTACCTATGTGTTCTTCCAGACTATGTTCTATTTGAAATTCAGACAGATCCATGCAGTCGTTCTTAAGATATCTTCAAAAAAACATCAATCCATCCAAACATTCATATTTATAATATAAGTAAGATTGTTCTTTGTAGATAAAATGTGTAAAAACAGTCAATACTGCATTACTAGCTGTCGCCCGCGACTCTCTCTGCGTAGAATTAATAAAAACCCTAATAAGTAGCTTATGTGTTCTTCCAGACTATGTTCTATATATGTGCCAAATTTCATCAAAAACTGTTTAGGAATTTCGGAGATACGTACAAACAAACATACATCTAAACTTTCGTATTTATTATATTAGTAACTTAATTATGAGAAACTTTAACATTATATTATAGCTAAATTAACACTTTAAATGCTACTAAGATTTTTATTTATAAATATAATAATTAAGACCGATTTGTCGCAGTGAATATGTTAAACTTGTTTAGTAATGGATAATACCACTATTCATCATCAGCTCACTATACGTCCCCACTTAGGGGCTCGGAGTCTACCCTAAGTTAAGGGTGATTAGGCCATAGTCAACCACGCTGGCCAAGTGCGGGTTAACTTCACACATATCTTTGAATTTCTTCTCAGATATGTGCAGGTTGCATCACGATGTTTTCCTTCATCGTAAGAACGTCGGATAAATGTGCATATGTAAATCGGAAATGGAAAAACACATTGGTACATGGCGGGATTCGAACCCAGGACCTGCAGATTGCAAGTCAAGTGCTTGACCACTGAGCCACCGACGCTCCCTATACCTATACCACTATTATTAGTATTTTTTTTTATTTCAGTATAATATCAAAAATATATCCATCAAGGAAAGAGACGCCAATATCTATGATGACAGAGACGGCGAGAGAACAAAGTGATATGTTCAATTTCGATCACCATCATTGTGCATTGGATTTAGTGAGGAATATATATTTTTATAATGATCTGCCATCACAAGTGAGAGATGGTGATGAAATGAATTCGGATGCTCTCACGATGGTTCTCGCTGATCTGATGCAGAGGCTCATGTCGTCTAATTGCAAGTTTTATTCTGTAAGTTTATGCAAACAATTAGTTTTATTGTGGGTTTCTGAGATCTCTATTTTTATATATAAAACTTGCTGTCGCCCGCGACTCGGTCCGCGTGGATATATAAAAAACTTAATTAGTAGCTTATGTGTTTTTCCAGACTATGTTCTATATGTGTGCCTAATTTCATCGAGATCCATTCAGCAGTTCTAGAGGTACTATCAAACAAGCATCCATCAATCCAAACATTCACATTTATGATATTAGTAAGACTAGATGTCGCCTGCAATTCCGTCTACAGAGCTACTGAATATGCATAAAAATATCTAAAAAATAAGTTAAGACGTTTCTGAGTATGGTAACATTGTGACACGAGAATTTTATATAGAACATTTTGATCTCAGAAACCAACAATTACAGTATTATATTAAAAATTCAATTCAAAAATAATTTTTTTTTAATTTAAATTTATATAAATAACAAAATTACATAACAATAAAAGTTTTTTTTTTAGAATTTTTTTTCTAAATATTTTTTTGTTATTTTTTTTTGTTTTTGTTTGATAGCAAGGTCTATTGGAAGCACTTGAATGTATATGTAAGCGTTGGTCTCCATGGAGTCACAAGGCGGCGTACACTGGACAAGGCATCCTGACTTACTGCCTGGACAACCTGCACTACTGCAATGCATCTGTCGCCACCAGAACTATATTATTGAATCTGTGCTCTATCATATTTCCAGGTAACTAGCTGTCGCCCGCGACTCTGTTTGTGTTGAATTAGAAAAACAATTAGCAAGCTATGTGTTCTTATAGACTATGTTCTATATGTATGTCAAATTATTATACATCACGATCTGTCAGCCGTTCTAGAGATATCTTCAAACAAACATCCATCCATACATCCAAACTTTTGCGTTTTTTTTGTTTGTCTTCCTTTTAATAAGCTTTAACCAAATAAAGATAATTAATTTTTATCAAAGGGAGTCTATTTATAGAAGGAATTTGAATTTGAACCGTCAATAAACGGTTAAGGGTGTGGATATCGGATCACGTGGTCGCGGGTTCGAATCCCGAATTCGACTATTGTCGTAAACCGTATCCTAGTACAAACCTAGAGCTTGGAATTGGTACAAGAAATATTTTTGAATTACAACATAGGAATTTCAACCTTAAAATACACTGATATAAAGTTCAAAATTGTTTTTATTTCAACAGTCGATATCCACAACGTGATGCGTCATAAGACAACAAATAGAGATATATTCGAGAGAGATTATCAAAATATAACAGGTAAATGGCAACATTTGGAGAATGAGAAAGTTGCCAGTTTAGCTGAGAAATTTCTACAGGTTACATTGAAGATGTTGAATGTGTTGGTGCATTTGATAGAGGAAGTTAACCCTAATGTACATCTGAATAAGAGCGGGATTGCTTTACCTGGCAGTCCTGTACGGAGGAAGACTCAAGGTTAGCTTTAAAAAAAAACTTAATTAAAAAAAAACGTTTTAATAGCCTAAGTGTTTTTGGAGACTATGTTCTACATATATACAGAATTTCAGTAAGATCTGTTGAGTCGTTTTGGAGATATCTCCAAACATATATTTCTCCATCCATACATCTAGACATTAGTAAGATTTTAATGGAAGAGAACTTAAACTTACTTAAATAGAAACCATATTAAATATTAAATTACAGTTTTCACTTTTTTCTTTTAAGGAAATGGAAAGGGTAAGAGATTTGCGGAGTAGGGGACACATAGGAAGGTGAAATCCTCTTCCTGTGCGTCCCCTACTCCGTTAATTAAAGGTAGATAACACATATGTAACTAGGAATGTCTTTGAGTAGATTTAGCTTCGCCGTTTTGGCGAAATTGATCGTTTGCCACATTAAAATCTTTTTACAGACCCAATCCAAAGACGAGGAAGTACAGTATCTCAAGAAGCTGATGATAAAGGTTCCCTCAGGAAGAAAGTTCCTGCGCCCGCAACAAGCTTAAAGGCTAATTTCACTGGGCATTTCTATAACGAACCATTTTATATGAAGCTTTATGAGAATTTGAGAGCTATGTACTCCAATCATAAGGTTGGTTTTACTTTGAATATTTTTAACACATTGTGTGCAAATTTTAGTTTAAAATAAAAAAAAATCATAAAAATTGATAGAAATATTGGTAAGTTTTCAAATATGTTATTTTCATGTGACTAATTTTAATTTACTGTAGATTTTAAATTTAAGACATGTTGTTGTCTCTGTTTTTTTCTAAGAGTATGAAGGAGACGGCAATATACATTTGGTAGTAGTTGCTCACAGCGACTCTGTCCGCGCGGTATTAGAACAAAAGATAGTGAGTAGCCTACGTGTTCTTCCAGACTATGTTCTATATGTATGACAAATTTTAATGAGATCCATACAGCTGTTCTGGAGATATCTTCAAACAAACATCCATCCATCTATACTCTATCTATCTTACTAATATTATAAATGCAATTGTTTCGATGGATGGATGGATATTTGAAGATATCTCTAAAACAGCTGAACAGATCTCGTTGAAATTTGGCATACATATAGAACATAGTCTAGAAGAGCACGGTAAGCTATAATTTCTTTTTTTTTAATTCCGCGCAGACAGAGGAAAGGCAACAGTTAGTTTATAATATTAGTGAGATTAACTTTCTAGTCAATTCTTAATTAATTTTATTTGTGTGTTTCCTTACAGATAAATTTAGATCCAAAAAGCAGCATATTCTATGAATTCCTAGCAACAGTACTGAACTGTTTGGCGGTACAACTAGAATTGGCTACAGAGAAAGAATATGGCTACGTAACTGAGGAGATTTTGTACTATCTGAAAGTCATTATGCCTTTATGTCCATATAAAACTGTTTACTGCATAACGCAATTATTAAAATGTTTGTTCGGTACAAATATGATCAACCAGTACAATGATTTCATGAGTATAGCTGATAACCGGCCTGTACCGGTTAAAACCAGTTTTTACCGCCATGTTTTGTTGGTAAATCCGGTTACAAGTAGAGAAGATTCTGGAAGAAGTAGCGTTTGTTCGAATACAAGTCAGAAGTTATCATTGGATACGAAGAATCCAAGAATGGTGGAGGAAAGACAGATGTTGATAGCTTTGGAGAATTTCTCTAAGAATAAAACTGATAGAAAATGGAGTACTAATAAAAAGGAATTGGAAAGATATATACGTTTGTTTGAACCTGTTGTGATACAAGCTTTGAAGGTAAGATGTATTTTATAAATTGTTAAGAAAATAAGGTTAGTAATTAACACTTGAAAATATACTAGTTGTCTCCTGCGACATCGTTTGAACGGAATTAAAAAGAAATAATTAGTAGTTTACGTGTACTGCTGTTCTAGAGATACCTTCAAACAAATATCCGTGCATCTATTCAAACATTCGCCTTTATAATATTAGTAAGATGTATAAGAAAGTTGGCTTGAGATAGTTTTTGTTGAAAATAGACTGAATCTTTAATCTAGTGTTTATTTTTTTACAGAGCTACACAATGCAGAACGATATTCCTCTGCAGCGGTCAGTACTAGCACTACTGGATCAGCTGTTAGCTCTTCGCGTCAATTACTGTATGCTGGACAGTGACCAGGTCTTCATTGGCTTTCTCATGAAGCAACTGGACTTAGTGGAACAGCATGAGATACCGTAAGTTTATATGACAATAGATGGCATTGTAATTTTTCAGAAGAATTATTTTTACACGCCGATAGATGGCGTTGTTATAAATCAGAAGACATTTTTTAATTCGCCGATAGATGGCGTTATTGTTAATATGTAAGAAAATGAAGTTTTTGTAGTATTTCAAGAGATGGCGCTTTTAAATATTTACAGAAACTGCTGTGAACTGGTGAATAGCATTCTGCTGTTTTTGGTGCAACTTTCATCCTCGAAACATCATACAAAGCAACTCATAGAGATACCAAAGGTATGCGTTTATTTTTTTTATTGTTTAAGCTTTCGTAAAACATTATGACAGATTAGCTGTCGCCCGCGACTCCTCTCGCACGAAATTAAAAAAAAAACTTATTAAGTAGACACCAACTAATTTCGGATCCATTGGTGGTCCATCTTCAGGGTTTGTAACTTTTATTTTCTTCTAAAGATGAACCCTACGCGAGACGTGGATGTATCATACGTCAGTTAAGTCTTTTTTTTTTCAGAATTTTTATTATTAATAATTATTTTGATTACGATTCCAGTTAATACAATTATGCGATGGTTTAATGGCGTCAGGAGCGCACGCTGAATGTATCGCAGGATTAGAACCTGTGGCTGTCAGAGTATTTAGTAATATGGGAGGTAATTCTTTAATATTTATATCAAACATAAGTTTCCACAGCCGAAATACTCGGAAAAAAAACTAATTTACTCTGGGTTTCTGAAATCAATAACACCATTACAAACATATTATTATCTCTGTTATATCAAAGATGCAAGACAAGGATGAGGATATTTTTATACAGAGGTTTAAGTCTCAGAAACCCATAGTAAGAGATATTTAAAGCTTGTATATTTTAAACAAAAATATATCTGCAAATAATATGCAGTAGAATTTCAAAATTAAAATTTCTCCATATTTGAGATATTTTTTAATTACGAATTACGTTAAATTTTATATTTCACTTTAAAAAAAACTTCATAAGTAGCCTATGTGTTTTTCTAGACTTTGCTCTACATGTATGATGAATTTCATAGAGATCCGTTGAGCCGTTTTGTAAATACTTTCTAACAAACATCCATACATCTAAACGTGCGCATTTATAATATTAGTAAGAAGTAATATGAACAAATATTGCATATATATTTTTTAATATTTTACAGCTGGAAACAGTGTGCTAGGTCGCACACAGCAGCAAGAGGCACAAGCCACGCGGGAAGTTCTCTTCTATATGCTGCAGAAGACCATGCATCAACCCAAAGTGAGTTGTAGACACATGTATAATATCAATGGTCCAAAAAACTTTTTTATGTTCCATATGGTTCATTTGTCTATGAAAGTATGGGAAGGAAATTTGGACCACCATTATTGGATGTTTTTATCCTCCAAAGAAACTTAGAACGGATACAAAGATATTTGTGTATGGTTAAAAAAAAACTTTTATGGTCCAAAAAAATTGTTATGATCCATAGAAACTTATCTGTGGTTCAAAGAAACTTATCTATGGCCCAAACATACTTGTTTAAAGACCATAATTACTTTATTTTAATGTATTTTTTTGTAATTTTTATATTTCCTAGGTTTTAGATCTCGTCTCGTGCGTCCTATCATTGTCACAAGACCACCCAGAGAGTTATTATCGTTGGTCAGAGCTGGCAAGTGACACACTCCTCAACTTACTGACACAGAGGAGCATAGAGTTGGACTCCTGTGATGCTGTCAGTTCTTTAGAGAGGTTACTGGATTCTGTGTACAAAGATGTCTTGCTAGAGCAAAGTAGAGTTGAAGTTTTATTGAAGATTCTCTTCAAAGCACCGCCTGATCAGGTAAAATAATATTTAATTGTATTTCAGTAGTGTAATTTTATGTTTTGTGTTATTTTATGTTGCAATTGTGTAATTTTATGTTTTGTGTAATTTTATGTTGCAATTGTGTAATTTTATGTTTTGTGTAATTTTATGTTGCAATTGTGTAATTTTATGTTTTGTGTAATTTTATGTTTCAGTTGTGTAATTCTATAGCTAAAGTGTGTAATTCTCTTTCAAATGTGTAATTCTATATTGCAATTGTGTACTCAATTCTCACTTTTGGTTGTAAAGTATCAGATTAAATTTTATTTTTACCTGCTAATAAAATTATATATTACTATTTTTTTTCAGGCAACAACAACACGCAAATTAAAATTACGTTATCTGTCAATAATAATGATATTACTAAGAAAAGTATTAGTTTTAATACCTGAAAGTGAGATTTTATTGTCCATAAATTATTTAAAATCTACATCAATTTCACCTCAATCTATTTTCTTCAACGCAAAGTTAGACATCGACCCACTAAATGTTCAGAATGTTAACGAAAACTGTGCAAATCTTTCCCCCGATGTTGTCTTAGTTAGGTTTCTTTTTAAAACGTTGACATTCGCGATATTAGAGATGGATGATTGTCAAATGAATTTAGACTCTATTCGTGATGGTAATAAGGATGGATTGCTTTATTCTGTTTGCGTGAATATTATTGTTCATGTTAAACATATGCTGCATTTGACTGGTGAGTACTATCTCCGTCTCTCTCTCTCTCTCTCTCTCTCTCTCTCTATCTCTCTCTGTGACATTTTAAACTTCAAAACTTCAAGGTCAAGGTCATTTAATCAAATAGCTGTCGCCCGCGACTTCGCGTGTATAATAAATTCGCGCGAATTATAAAACGTAATTAGTAGTATGTGTTCTTCCAGACTATGTTCTATATCTATGACAAATATACTCGAAATCTATGCAGCCGTTCTGGAGATACATCCATCCAAACATTCGCATTAATATTAGTAAGATTAATTACTAATGCCTACCAACATAACCTTACTTGTGTTCCTCTTTTTCTTGAATAAACAGAGTAAGAGATTTCTTTAACTTTTTATGTTCACGGAATAATGTATGAAATATTATGTGTACTTGTTTCTTATCTCTACTTGTTATCCCTTTATCTCTTTTTCCTTGATAGAAGAGAGGTAGAGAGAGAAAGGGAGGGACAACTCTCTTTCTTTCTCTATTCTATCAAAACAGCATGATTTGTGATTCTTTCAGATGGTTGTCTCTTCCCATTGACGGCAAAAACAGCACAAAATATTCTACACAATGAACAGAGTGGATTAAACACAGGACTATACAGTCCTGAGGAGAACATACCACTCGACCATCTTAACTTGATCTGTCTGAAGTCAGCACATAGACTGCCCCTGCTCACCGCGCACTGGTCACATCTCTTGATACGGTGAGTGATTTACTGAATGAATGAACTGACGTTTGTCAAATATAACATACTAGTAGCCAGTGACTTTGTTCGTATGGATTAAAAAAAAACTTAATTATTAGCATATATGTCAAATATCGGCGAGATCTATACCTTCTAATATAAACAATTCTCTTATAAACATTCGCATTTATTATATTAGTAAGACCAGTCACCCGTGACTCCGTCTTTGTGGGATAAGAAAAAGTGGTCTATATGTTCTTCCAGACTATGTTCTATATCTATGCCAAATTTCAGCGAGGTCCATACAGCTGTTCCGGAGATACTTTCTAACAAACATACATCCAAACATTCGCATTTATAATATTAGATTGACACCCTGAAATTCGTTGGTCACTAAGGCACTCCTTATTGTAATTCGATTTTGGATTTAGATTGCCGTGTACAAAGTTCATGTAGTCGATTAGCATTGCGATCTTTAGATTCAATAATATAAATATAATTTTGGATATTAACAGGTTGAACTTCATGTGTCAGAAGTACTGGCACAAGTTAATGATTGGTTGTGGGCGGAGCGATGTGGGCGGGGCGGAGGGCGGGGCGGCCGCAGGAGGGGGCGGGATGCTGCGCACAGACACGCTGCAGGCTGCCTGCGTCATCGCATACTGCGAGTACTTTGTAAGTACAGCCTGACTGACCTATGTACACTTGTTTATGACACTCTTAGAAATAATATGAAGTTTGTCACAATGGAATACAATTGAAACTGGATAAGCGAGAGTCATTTTTAGTCCAAAACTTACTCCATAAGCGAGAAACTATTTATTATCCGTTGGAATCTCTTTTATCCATATTCGACTGAATTTATTCATATAATCTCTCATAATATTATATAAATACTCGTAAATACATCAAATATTAAATTATTTATAGTAAAGCTTTTTTTAATTTAGCTGTAATTAAAAAAGAGTATAATAGCTATCTTAAAATTAGGGTATCTTTTTTCTTACTATTACAAACATTACCAATATGTATTTTATATTTAAAAAGTATAAAATGTGATTATCATTTAATTAACTCGTATATATTTTATTTTCAGGTTGAAAATGGTTTAACCCAAGCGGTGCATTTAACATGGCTTCTAGTCAATAGAGTACATGTACTAATTAGTCAGTACAATGAAGAGATTGTACAGACTTTAATATGCAAAGTGCAAGAGAACTCTGTTGCATCAGGCTTGTTGCTGCAGGCCATCGCCGCTAGATGTCAGTGCTGTCTGAAGGTGAGTACTATGCGTGTACTGTAACATGACATTTAGTGAAATTCCCTAATTTAAGACTTTACTTTTTATTTTCTACTAGCTGTAGGCCGCGACTCTAATAGCGCGGCATTAAAATGTGGATCTCCAGACTATGTCTATGCCAAATTTCAGACGGATCCGTTTAGCCGTTCTGGAGATACCTTTTAAAGACTATCGGTTAAACCACTGATGAGTTTCAATATCATTATGTCGTTATAACCGATTTTAACTGTATTATATTTTTTCGCAGGACGAATTCGCTCTGAACATATACAAGATGCTATCTCTAAGTCACGAGAGTCAATCTGGTGCTTTAGTGTTTCTCATATGTCGTATCATTGGTAAACTGGAACCTGCCATTGCTGTTAGGTAATAAATTAATAATAAGACGTTTGTTTATCTTTGTTTTTGAAATACGTTTGAAGTAATAAGAGCGCGATATTTTTCTCGCTTATAGAGATGTTTCTCACATCTGAGTTTCTCGCTTATGGAGTTGTTTCATACCGTACAATGACTCACTTTTAAAAGTTTCACGCTTATCCAGTTTTTATTGCTAATAAATCAATTTAATTTATCTTAATTTCCAAAATATTTGAGATTTAATAAAACTTAGCTAAGTTAAATATATTTTAGATTTGCTAACTTAGCGACAGAAAGGTGCAAAATGTTGGCAGAAGTTTCCCCAGAAGATATAAAATCTCAGCTCTCTAAAGAAGATTTACAAGTTGCATTAGAATCATTGCACAGAGACAAGGTTCATGTCAGGTAAGTTAATATACATTATTTACAATTAAAATTAAATTTATCCATCCATCCATCCACACACTGACGCACATAAATACGCCTTCTTACGTATAATCGTGTAAGGACGCATTTTTTATATTAATCTTAATATTTAAATGATTCGAAATGAAATTAATTTGAAAATGCTGGATAAAAATTAATGACCTGGATTCGCCAAAATGGCGAAGCGACCGCTTCCATAAATATACGCAATTGAGGATACGTTGGCTACCTTTAATCGACAGAGGAAGAGATGCACAGAATAAGAATATTTTTCTCTATTATGCGTCTCTATCTTTCCATCTTTTCTTCATAAAGAATAGAGTGGGAAGAAAAAAGGGATTTAGATCTTTGGAAAACACTTATCATTTTAAACTTTTTTGCCAATTTACATAAAATGTTATTAATCTACAGATATCCAGCTCTTGTGATCCAGTTAAATAATCTAGCATCCAGCACTTTTGATCTGTCGCCACTAGATCTAACGTTAGACCGAGTTATCAACCCTCAGAATATACTGACTACAAATGTTGACGCTAATTGGCTCATCAATGAAATTAAAATAAGGTAACTGACATTTTTATTCCATTACTAGCTGTCGCCCGCGGCTCCGTCCGCGCAGAATTAAAATAAATTAAAAAGTAGTTTATCTGTTCTTCCAGGCTATGTAACAAATTTCATCAAAATCCGTTGAGCAGTTCTGAAGATACATTGAAACAAACATCCATCCATCTAAACATTCGCATTTGTAATATAAGTAAGATGAACGTAAGCGTAGAATTTCACTGACGTGACATTTATTGTCATCTCTGTCTTGTCAAATGGAGTGAAAGGGAGAACAATATGTAATGCTAATAGTAAGGTATTGGTTATAGGATTTAAACTTTTTAATGTTTAATCTGACGCTTAGACTTAGTATGACAGTGTATTTGATATTATTAACAAAATTAACTCATATTCTTACTGGATTTAGACATTTGAATTAAATTCGAGTAATATTTTGAATAATAATATTTATTTCAGATGTCATACAAATGGTTCTTTCCAAAAACTGTCAAAATATGACGACTTAGCACTGCTCCTGTCAAATCTGACGAAAGAAGATTTACAAACGGTCATGTCGTGTCCTGAGTTCGACAGGAAAATTCTGGCATCCTGCTTTAAAGTGTCATGTGATGCGTTCACAAGGGAATTCTTAAATATTTTATCAGTTTCTGAAGCGAAAGAGATGGAGAGAGAGAAAGAAAGGGAACAAGAGACTGTCAAGAAAGAACAAGAGTTGACATCATCGATTGACAGTAACAAATTGAATGTTGTCAATTTACATGTATTCAAAAGAAGTGACAGTAGAGAATCTAAATCACAATTCTTTATTCCAATAAACGAGAAAGAACAAAAAGGCTTTGGAAATTTAAAGATATCCGAAGAGGAAGTAGAAATGACACTTCCAGAGTTGTCAGATTTATATGAAGTGTCAATTTTGACATTAGATAAGTCGATAAGTGATATTTTACGTCTTTTTCCTAAACAAAATCGACCCTTAAGTCAATCTGAAACGTTTAATCTGAACATAGAACAAACTATAGATAGATACACGAGGAGATGTCATCAAGTATTTCAAGATAAATTATTTTATAAAGAATTTATAACAGTTCAAGCTATTTTGACAGGTTTTTTGAATTCTTTAGATAGATTAATAGCTTTAATAGACGAAGCTGATTGTGATTTGTTAGAGAAATGTATAGAGAATATTATACCTATAAATGTATGTAAGAACATAGCAATCTATTGCGTAGTTTCGTTGCAATATTTATCTTTCCTGATAAAGAATAAGAAAGAAGTGGAGAGTCCTGTTCACGCTGACGTGTCGTTCAGAGCCACGACAGTGGAAACAGAGAACATTGTCGTGGATTATGTGATAGTGGAAACAGTGCACAATGTGGCTAAAGCTTTGACTTTCAAAGAGATTTGGTCTGAACTGAATGTGGATAGTAATTTTAATAGAATACAATCGGCTATTAGTTGTTTGTTCGCTGTACTTAAGTATTTAGTAAAGGTGAGTTGATTACAATATTAAATATTTCATTTCTTACTTAAAAAAGACAGTTTCTGAGTTTAAAATAAGCTATTTTGACGCCTTTTTTAGTGTGTGGCTTAAGAGTAAACTAGTCAAAAAATAATATCGCTAACTAAAAAAGTTAAAATGAACTTTATTAAAGACGAGTAAAAAAAGTTTTATGTGATTTTTTTTTCATGTAAATTTTATTACATTAATATTGGAACAATTTCACCCCAAAAACGACCTCAATTGATATGATCTTTATAGTTAATAATGGCTACATTTGTACTATTATATTTAAAAATCTATGTTTTATAATTTGCCCAAAATCTTTGTAGGACACAAAACCTCTAATTCTAAAGCAACATATGCCAGTACAAGATTCAGGTCCAAAGCCAGACTTTGTTCTCATCTCAGATCGATTAATCACAATGGTACAGTACTGGGAACATAATTTCTATACTAAACCTATCGGTGATATACTGGGAAAGGGTTTAAGAAAACCTATAGAAAGTTTACTCATCAGTTTGTCTAGGTAAGTGAAAACTCAGAGCTATTTAAGTGTCAATTAATCTGCCTCTTAGTTTATCTTTGTTTTTACAGTAACATATTTTAAGTGATAGCCAAAACTGGATAAGCAGGAGTCTAAGGAACCGCAATATTTTTCTCGCTTATAGAGTTTATTCTCTTAACTGAGTTTCTCGCTTATGGAGGTCCTTAGCGTCCGTACAATGATTCTCGCTTATAGAGATTTTTGTCTAACTCGAGTTTCTCGTTTATGGGGGTCGTCCTTAAGAACAAGACTTCGACTCTTGCATATAGAGGTCTCGGGCAAGGACAGTGGTTCTCGCTTATAGAGATGTTTCTCTAACCCGAGTTTCTCGCTTATGGAGTTCATTTGTCGCAACCGGACAATGACTCTCGCTTATAGAGATGTTCCTTTAACTAGAGTTTCTCGCTTGTAGAGGCTATTTGTTGGGACATGACGTTGATTCTCGCTTATAGAGTAAAACTCTAAGTTAAGAGTTTATCTGTTATTGAATCAATTTCTGTTTCAGATTAGAAGTGGTGAATAATATAGCACTAATACCGCCTATAGCCTGGTCGTATGTTGAAGTGACTGTAAAAAATGATACAATACAAAAGATTGATTTACCTTTACAAGCTTTACAAGATATGGATGTGTTGGAATCTTTTCTATTCAGGTAATTATTAACTAGCAATTATCTTATTTTCATATCAAACTGTCTTATTTTTAAGAACCAAAATGCACAGAGTGCTTCAGTTGTTTCCCTTAGTAGAGATTTAAAGTAAAATTTAAAAAGAAAAAGGAAAGAGCTAGAGTACACCTGAGTTCGCCGAAAGTGCGACGTACTGTCCATTAACATACGCAATTGCAGATGCGTTGCCTACCTTTAATCGACGGCAGAGGAGAGGCACAGAAAGCGGTAATACCCCGCCCTTTGAATGTGCTCTTGTGGTCTGACTTCGTGGTCGTGGAATTGCACCGGACAGGCAGACACATTTTTGCTTCTACCACTATTATAAAAATGCATCAAAAAAGTAAATTCTCTGTTGACAGGGTGAATCTCCTCGGGTGGTCGTGCAAGAAGCAGTTCGAGGAGATATGGGTGGGTCTGCTGGGCGCGCTGCCCGGCAACGGCACGCACTGGGCTGTGCGCGGCATCGCCCAGCTGCTCGCCACCACCGCGCCCGCGCTGCGCCGCCGCCCCGCACTGCATCTGCCCAGGACTCGAGTCTATCTTACTGATGGGTGAGCTGCCCCCCCCCCCGCCCCCCACTATCCTCTACTAATCGGCTAAATATTGACGTATATTCGTCCGGTGGCGGCAGTGACTAGTTTGGAGCCACGTAGCCTAGTCAGTCAGTGAGCGACGGGCTACGCGAGTGTTTAGCCGTTTTTATATCAGTTTGTGATAATGCTTCAATAAATTTTGAATAATTTAATAAGACGCATATATTTGTCAGTATGCAACGTCTACGCAGTCTCCTAGTGGGCACGTCAGCATACACCATGTTGGAGGAGGTGAACTTGGAGCGCGTGCCTCTCCTCGCTGATAACTTTGATGGATATCACTGCGCACAGTTCAGTACTGACTATCTTAAGTTGGCCTCTGGTGAGTTAACATGCCCAGTCCTTTGATTCTTAACCAGTTTTGACTGTAATTCCATTATTATTGTTCATATTTGATAGCTAGCTGTCGCCTGGGACTCCGTCAGGGCGGAATTAAAAAAACTTAATTAGTAGCCTATGTGTTCTTCCAGACTGTTCTTCATCTATGCCAAATTTCAGTCAAATCCACGTAGCCCTTCTAAAGTAAACTATTGTTATTCTCTTATAGTGTAGATTCTTTAGACATTTTGGTACATTTCATTCGAAAGAAACAAAAGATACAAAAATACTATAAAACAAAAGAGACGGATATACTTTTACTAGAATTAAATTAGTTATTGTAGCCAAAGTTATGATAGCAAAAATATTCAAAATCTCTCTGAATATAGAGCATTTTTTTTCTAATAGATATAACGGAGGAGGCGCCCTCTAGAGTGAGACAAGCGGTGAAAAGAAAGAAGAAGAACAAAGATATAGATGTCAACAGTTGTTTACAACTTCTAATGGATGTCACTTCAGAAATGCTTGAACCTAAAGTGAGTTATTAAAAACAAACATTTTTACTCCATTAACTGTGGGTTTCTGAGACGAAAATCTCAATTTAAAACATATTGTCACCCCTGTTGACAAAATGACAGGGATGACGATATGTTTTATACGGAAATTTTGATATCAGAAACCCACGGTGAATCTGATACTCAGCTTTATTTCATTGTGCCCTTGTGTAAAAGACTTAACAGATTTCAATGACACCTTCATTGCAGTCTTATTCTATTCCAGAGTGTCATAGTCACAGATTTTTTTTTTATTTCCATCCAGGCGGCAACAGGTCTAGCGGCTCGTACAGCTCTCCTGTCGAGTATTCACACAGTGAGCTGTGCGTTCTCGTCATCCGCGCACTGGTCCTGGGCTGGTGCGCAGCTGGCGGCTGAGCCAGGCGGGCACTGGGCCAGCGTCACCAGAGCCCTGCTGCAGGCGCTCGCAGTTTGTCTGCCTGTGCTATACCCTTGTGAGGGTATGCAGGTCAGTGTTGCCACAAACACAAAATCTTACTAATATTTTAAATGCGAATGTTTGGATGGATGTTTCTTTGAAAGTATCTCCAAAACAGATGTATGGATCTCGCCGAAATTTCGCTACATATAGATCTTTTAATACCGTGCGAACGGAGTCGCGGTCAACAGCTAGTATCTTATAAAATGTGAAATAAGAAATCGGCATTTGTGTTGACATGTCGGAAAGAGCGAGATTTCGGTCTTGTAAAGCGTTGTGTTTGTTGCGCAGTGTGCGACAGAGATAACGCTCTACAAATCGAATGTATCTCATCTTTTCTACTCGACTTGTCACAATCAATGTGTTTGACAGTGAGTTAGATAATATGATATTTAAAATTACAGTTGAACTGAATAAGCGACAGTCCAAAGGATATTTTTCTCGCTTATAGAGATTTCTCGCTTATAGAGTTGTTTCGGCCCGGATAATAACTTTTTTAAAATAATAAATCGTTTATTTAGCAACAAAAGTAAGATTAAATTACAAAGTAGTGCGTCTGGTTCTTAAATTAGATTCTAGACCCAAAACTCTCTCTGACTAATAGAGTGCTTTTGTATCCAGTTCTAGCTTATTCGATTGTTTTTTTTTTCTAATTATGTATTACTATTCCAGGAGCTATCAACAGTTCACCAAAAGCTACTTAAATCTCTAACATCAAGCTACGCGCCGCTGCGCCAGGCGGCGCTGCACGGATGCCTGCTGCAGCTGAGCGCGGGCCCCGCGGCGCACCTGCTGCCCGACCTGGTGGCCAGCGTGCGACATCATCTGCAGCGTCACCAGCGTGCCAGGTGACTTACCTTCGATTTACTGGAATTAGGAGTGATGTCTGCACTTTCTACTCCTTGAAAAACTATTGATTCTATTCCATACAATTGCCTTATCTATACATATTAATAAAATTGGAATGTCCGTAAATAATAGCGCAAAAAGAACATATTTCTGTCTTACAATTTAAAAAAAAATTGTCAGTCTGCCTGTACGTTTGTCTGTCCTTAAGGAAATTTTTGTTCCGACTTGGACGGTAAGGTAGTTGATGCACGCGGGCATATTATAGCCTACTTTTTTATCCTGTGCTGACGGAGTCACGGGCGGCCACTAGTAAACATTAAAACATTTTATCTGTTTATAGGATATCACTTACTAATATTATAAATGCGAATGTTTAGATGTATGGATGGATGTTTGTTAATAAATACCTCCGGAACTGTATAGATTTCGATGAAATTTGAAATTCTACACACATGTAGAACATAACCTGGAAGAACACATAGGCTACTGTAATTTTTTTTTATTTCGTGCCAACAAAGTCGCGGTCTACAGCTAGTATAATTATAATCGGTTTAATGTGTACTTGCAGGATATCTCTGTACGAGCAGAGTTTGTACTGGACGGTGTTGTTCTCGCTGGTGGAGTTAGGTCATCCGGATCTCGTCAGCCTCGCTGTAGACTTCCTCATCACATATCCTACGCATTATTGTACTTCTCTTGTTGTACGGGTGAGTATTACCAAATGTTATTACTAGTTTTGGTAATACTGTGTATTACCAGATAGTGCGTATAGTATATGGCCTAGTCACCCCTAACTTAGGGTAGGCTCCGAGCCCCTCAGTGGGGACGTGTAGTGAGCTGATGATGATATATATTACCGTTTGAATATTACCTGAAATTATTTGTGTTACTATTAATGGATTACCTGGACGTATATTTATTACAGTTTTCTCTTTACCATAAAGTTTGTATATTACCACTATGTAGATGTATTATAGTTTATTAGTGGTTTATAGTTGAATAACTGTTTATATATTCCTAGTAAATTATATTTTCAGGGTATAACAACGGTAATACGAAAACATATATTACCAAAAGATATAAAGAATAATGTAATAGAGAAACTATTGGATAACACATCTAAGTACAGTGAAGAGCATGCAATACAAATATTAATGGTGCATCTATTCTCTGGTGAGTTGAAGAACTGGATAAGTACTCAATGTGTTCTTCCAGACTGTTCTATAACTATACCAAATTTTAGTTAGATCCATACGGCCGTTCTGGAGATACCTTCTACATCGATCTTGACTTTTTATATAGCAAATTGTGGCAAACGAGCAAAGGGTCTGAATTCACTAAAGTAGCGATGTGACCGTTACCCATAGACATCTGAAATTGCAGATATTTTAATACCTTTAATCGATGGAGGAAAGAGAATATTCCTCCAACGATGCGTCCTCTCTTCTGCTACATCCACCTAATCTACTAAAACTGCTAAATTGTTTAGTATTTAAACTACATTCGTTCCGGAACGAAATTATAAACACCTTTTGTGTTACAAATTTATACAATTTTATAAAAAAATAAATGTTCAAATCGGATTAATAAAAAAATACTATTGAAATCAAAAAACTTTTTATGCAATTTTCAGCTGACAGTAGACTATTAAGTCCAAAACAGACAATGGACGTGTCAAATATGGACCCCGATGTACTCATGAGTTCTATGGAACGGCTGACATTATTATACAAAACACTCAAGCGCTCCAAACTGAAAGAGAGCAAGCAGATAATTGCAGCAGCTCTCAAATACTTCTTGAGAGAGACTCTACCTCCAGCTGCAACTTTGAGTAGAGTTGTGATGGAGTTTATTGAGTGTTGCAGAGAGACTGAAGGGAGATTGGGTTTGTTGAGTGAGAGAGAGAAGTGGATACAGAGTTCAGTGTTGAATGCTGAAGTTGTTTATGAGGTACGTATTCATGCTTTATTTTAATACTAGCCCTCGCCAGCGACTCCGTTCGCGCTAAATAAAAAAAAATAGTAGCCTTTCTGTTGTTCCAGACTATGTTCTATGACAAATTTCATCTGTTAAGTCGTTCTACAGATACCTTTTTTTTTTAGTAACAAACATTCATCCAAACATTGCGTTTATAATATAGTAAAATTAGTAATATTACCAACTTATATTTCCTAGTAATATTTCTTGGTAATTATTGGTAATATCTTTGAATTATTTTTCTTTACGTTGTTTAGAATGTTAATCAGAATTTTATAGACAAGTAACTTATTAAAAGGTGCAATGTTTAATAATTGGAATAGTGGAATGGAAAAACTTCTTATTTAATGTTTAATAATACGATTAATTTAATTTTTTTTTATACCATAAGATGGCAAATGAGCGAGCGACCACCTAAAGTCGCTGAAATAGCGAAGTGACCGTTGCCCATAGACATACGCAATTGCATATGCGTTGCCTACCTTTTAACGACGGAGGAGAGGATGCACAGAAAGTAAATATTTTCCCTTTCCATGCATCCTCTCATTCGAAAAGTTCACTTCCACTTCCCATCCTTTCCTTATAAGAAAGAGGGTGGGAAGGGAAAGAGGACTAAATGAGGCCTCCGGGACGCACACTCATCAGACGCCTGTCTTCTGTGTGGTCGTGGTATTTCCCCGGGTGAGCCGGGACAATTCGTGCGAACATGTTAAAGCGGACTCTACCACTGTTAAATATATAAATATCTTTTCCAGGTATTTGAAACAGCTGTTTTACAGAAGCAATTACCAGTATTAAGCGGTTGGATATTTGAAGCTTTATGTCATTTGTTGACTGGAAAAGTTTCATCAAATTTATTACCGTTCTGTGTACTAACGATACTGGTTTCAGCGAGTTCAAACCGGTTCATACGTACAATAGCGCCGCTCTGCTACCATGTGTTCACAAATAGTTTTATTATAAATGAAAATAACGATAATTGGACTGTATTTAGCGATAATAAAACGATAAATGATTCGATAGCTTTCCCTGATAAGAGGTTGTTGTGTGTTGCAGCTATACATTCCAATTTTTCAACATCACAGTTGGTGAGATTGAAAGAGTTGTGTGAAAATAATGATTGTTTATCATATTTGTTGCAATGTTTGTCTGTTTGATTGTAAAATGGAAGTTTTAGACATTGTATAAGGGAGTTAATAGATGGAGGAAGGAAGTTGAGCGAGGCAATGCGACGCCAATACACTTAGATAAGTTGCGCCAGAGGGAGCTTGACACGGAGACTGCGGGGACGCTCGAACCCCATTAGAAGACATTATTAGTTAGAATCTTTTAGCGCAAATGACGTGCTTTCGTTACAAAGTCAAGTGTCAGAATTAGTGAGGGGACATGTTCCAGTACACCGGCAGTGTCGGATTTTCTTCCTAACAGTTACTAGTGTAATACACAGAAAAGTCTTGACTTTTAGTGTTTAAAAAAACACTTTTTTTAGCATAAAAAAGGTATGGTAACGTAGTCAACAAAATTAATTACTGTAAGTTTGATTATGTATTTTAATATGAATATACTATAGCACTTTCCCGCAACTTCGTTCACTCGGAATTAAATAAAATCTAGTAATATAGTGTCATCTGGGAATAGTGTAACTTTCCAGCAATGAAAGACATTTTTCAAATCTGTAGTTTTGGACAAACAGACAAACAAATCTTTCCTCTTTATATTAGTATACCAATATATATTATTTAAATTCAAAAAAGCTTTTTTTTTAATATATTTGGTTTGAATTTTACATTTAATTATGTAAGTAAAAGGTCTCATAGTTTTATTCAAGTATAGTCGTAGATGTAATCTTTATTTAGGAAAACTTAAGTATAAATGTTAATACTGTTAAAAAAACTAAAGCCTAAAAGAAATCTAAGCTTATTGAATGTTGGTCCTTCGAGCAGTGTACATTTTTTTTTAAAGAAAACCAAAAATGGATCGAATAATAAACCCTGTTAATGCCACTATTCTTTTGTAAGTAGGCAGTGAATGTGTTAAAATAAACAATAAATATGTATTAATCGAAAAAAAATATAAATAAAGAAGGAAAAGTAAGAAAATAATTAAAAACATAAGAAAGGTTGGTATTTTTTTGTATCAGAAAATATATTTCTTTAAATTAAATTATTAATGTAATTGGTTTTGTTTAAAAGCCTAAATAGAATATAAAATCTTGTTCGACTCATTTTATTTATTACTAGCTGTCGCCCGCGACTTCGCCCGCGCGGTATTAAAAATATAAACAAGCTGATTCTAAGATCTACTGAATATGAATATGAAAATTCATAAAAATCAGTCAAGACGTTAATTAAAATTGAATAAAATACAATATAAAAAATAATCGAGCAATTTTCATTGTATTCTTATAAATTAAAAGAAAAGTTGTCGAAGGAAATATGTAGGGGCTTGAAAAGTTCATTCTAGAAGTAGTAAGTTCAAATTTAAAAAAATAATCTTTGCTAATTAGGCTTTAACAGCAACTGAACAGAGTAAATTTATTAGAAAAATAATATAATATTTTATAGTATTTCAGATATGTTTTAATTAAAAATCTATTTCAAGTAAGTATAATATTTTTTTTTTAATTTCATATGATTTGTTATTTCCAGTTTAATGTTTAGTCTACGACACTTAATATATTGCACTGACATCTGTCAAATTTGACATTGACGTTTAGATATTCATAGCACAGAATATAAATGTATTCATAGATTACGTTATTGGTCTCATTTTGATGCGATAATGTTGAATATTTTAAATATTTAACTCGTTGAGTTCGTAATTTTCTTATGCTATTAATGATAAGGCATACAGTGGTATAACCAGTTTCAATCATTTCGGCGACTCGTCTGTACGCAGTGCTCTCCCCTCTCGTCACTGTACGATAAGTCAACATTATGTTCTGCGTAGTGACGTATGTTCCGAGCCGCCGACATATTTGAATATGAGTTTATAAGCGTAACATTTTATTATAAATAAGTCCAATTAGTATCTGTTTACATATTTAGATGTGTATGTTTGATTCCAACAGTTATAGTGCTAAAGGCATGTTTAAAAAAAACTTTTGTACAGGATGTTCGAAGATATTGAAATTTCCGGACACCCTGTATATAGTGTATACAAGCAATATTAATATAATAATACTGGTAGACATATATTTTGTATGTTATCACAATTAATAATACAGGCTGATGTTTTTTTGTTCATAAAAAAAATAAAGATTGTCGGATTTGTACGTACGAAGAATCTTGTGATTTTCTAAACTAGGTCTATATTTTATGAAATTATTCGAAATTATATTTATAAAGCAATGTGCTTTCGCAGCTAATAAATAGTTAAATAAAAAAAACTTTGTTTTATTTTTACTAATAATTTTATAGAAATTAAGTCTATGCTATAATTTAACGATCAACTTTAAGAGTCCTTTTTCTCTAACGCGACTGTTCTTCTATATGTTATTTATGGGCTGGTTTCTAGTCAGCGTAAATATTTTTAACTTAGTAGCCGACTAAAAGTAGCGGGCGAATCCGTCCGCGTTTCAAATAAAAAGAAATTCTAGCCTATGTCCTATTCCAAGCTGTAATCTAACCCTATTCCACATTCCATCTTTATCTGTTTAGCCGTTTTGAAGAAGTGAAGAAACATCATCAAAAAGGTTTTCAGCGAGATCCATGCAGCCGTTCTGAAGATACCTTCTAACAAAAATCCATCTAAACATTCTTATTTATAATATTAGTAAGATTAAAAAGATATTCTTATATCATGATTCAATAATTTTAAGCTGTCTTTATCGATGAAGTAATCCTTTCTTATCTTTATTGTAATTATAGATAATGCTTGTACTAATATCAGTTTTCACAATATGGCGGTAACACGTCGTGGATATATATTTTGTGCGTTTATTTCTAGTGTTGTGTGCGTTTTATTAGTGGTTGTTGCGATCTCCAGTGATAGTTGGGTTAGTAAGTTTACTAATTACGTTTTATTAAATAAAAAACTAAGTAAAATATTTCACGCATTGATTAATAAGAGAGATGGGTTGTGTTAATGGTGACATGATTAAGGGAGTGTCGAATAAATAATGGATATATCGATCTGCAAGAACAACTGCTGTGCACTTACTAAAGTGGGAAAAGGACAGACATATCACTGAAAAATCTTTGATTTAACGTATTGTCAAATATATCCGTTGTTTGAAATGCTTTTGGTAGTGACTAATATCTAATTATCGCAATCATGAGTCGTTTACACATTGGTATTAACCGATGTTACGAGGTGTAATGTTACAAAATGTAACATTCGCATGGAGTGTCATATTTTTATATTGAATAACCAAGACATGACCGATCCCCGTGATGTTAACCTTCTTTTTCGTTGCAAGTTTGTTGCTCCCTATTTTCCCCATAAAACTAAGTACTGACTGGATAAATGCTTACGATGTAACATGTTACATTACACCACGTATCGTCGGCCATTACTCAGCTTACGAGTTATTTCTCTTATATCTACTCTAAGCTTGCTTTTTAACTAATTAGGATCACTGAGCGTGGCAGTAATTATATTAAACAATTTATAATAATATAGTTGTTATTATTAAGTTGTATTATCCTCGTATCTAAATATTATGTTATGTTATAAATCGTATCAAATACTGATAAATATTTTATTGCAGCTTTTCTATCTTGTATTCAATTCTAAATATTTGGGGGAAGTACTAAAATGTTATAAGTCGTATTCCAAACTATGAGGACAAATAATAATCGTACAGTTATCTTTAGGATACATAATTCACATGTTGTTCATTTAAACACATTCAAAACTTATTTATAACTTAACGACTTAGTTCCATACATAATACGTAAGTAATATCGCTAATGACTTAATTGTAACACAGTATGTGACAAAGCGTTACGTCGCTTGCTCTCAAGTGCTCCTAGAGCCTCAATCGTCGCTCGAAATAGATTTAAATAATTAGATTAAGGCAAATAGCTTTGATTAAAGTTAAATTAAAAGCACAATTATATTAAAATCTCTTATTACGCTAGAATTACGATCATTGTCACTATGACAATCATGTGACTTATCGAAAGTTATTGTCACTTCATTATGGAGTCGCTTCGGAATGAATGTACTTTTTCTAAGGTCGTATTTAGTGTGTTATCAGTGTGGCTTTGTTCCAGATAGTATCGAGCGCGTATCTTGAGGGCCAGGTGGACTACAGTAACATCCGCTATGGCCTGTTCCGCGGTGAGCTGGCGCTGCGACATCTTGGCACACCTTCCTACAACACCCTGTATAGTAAGTACATTTAGTACTTTTATGAGTTGACGAATATATGCTATTTATTATACAGCCATAAAAAATACGATTGTAATGATACATAATAGAATTAATCACCCTGTTTAAGTTCATCACAAGCTGGTTAATGTAGTGAACCATTTAGTCTACTATCTTATTAACTGTAACATGAGCACAGCCTTGCAGCTCTTATTACAAGTCACAGACGTTAAGTGGTCTCTTAGTGTACACTTAGTATTTCTTAGTAAGGAAGTCTTTCACGTGCCGTTTTTTACTAATTATACGATTAAACGAGGCATAGATACTTTATGTAGAGAATCAAAATAGGGGTCTGATGTACAGCAATAAACAACAAGCCTATCCAATTTACTACAAAGGCTTTGCTAGCTTCCTTTTAGGATGTATCTAACCTTCATATAAATTGAGAAAGGAATTTAGATGGCTTAGATGAAAAAGAAATTTGGCCTGCTCTTTTATAGACATTGGAATTGTTATTGCTTAGGTACGAGTAGAGGATAAGTGATTTAATAAATGTTACAATTTGTAATTCTCTTTTATTTGTCTGATAAAATGTAACATATGTTCATAAATAGTAACATTCAGATTATTAGTAAAAGTACTGCAATACTGTTAGGAAGAAAATCGGACACTGTGCCGGTGTACTGGCGCAACACTAGCTTTATTAAAATATCGACACTTGACTTTGTAACAAAAGCGCGCCATTCGCACCAAAGGATTCTAACTAATAATGTCTAAATTATTTTTTCAAAGAGACTGAAAGTGACGAAATTTAGGCTGCGGGCATGAAAGTGATGAGCGGAGCGAATCGATAAGCGGAGCGGGGTGATGTAATCAAAATTATAGCACAATACAGCGCCGCACATGAAGCTTGCGGGCGCGGATTAGCACTTATGTTTACGTCGTCACGCTCCACCGTCGCACTGCCCCGCTCATCGCTAAATTCATGCCCACAGCTTAAGTGAGAAAAGATATAACTTATTATTTTTTTGACATCGTATTTAATATAAAAAGTCTATCATTATTCTTATCTTACTAATATAAATGCTCAAGACAGATGGATGGATGGATGGATAGATGGATGTTTGTTTGAAGATATCTCCATAACGGCTGAACAAATCTTAAAATCGTAAAAATACATAGGCTACTAATTAAGTTTTTTTTAATCCCGCGCGGACGGAGACAAAGGCGACAGCTAGTGGGTATCGATTTTAGTTCAGGTTAATTTCCCAAAAGATTAATAAAATAGTACTGCCATCAAAGATATGTACATTGCTACTAAAATATTCAATATCATATCGAAATCAACACGCGATGTAAACGAACTGAACATAACATGCTGAAAAAAATTTATGACACTAAATTACTATAATATCTCTCTCTCTGTTATATTCAAAGTTACATTACTAAGGGCATCTCTTAGTGTAGATTTATTATTAGTACACAGTGGCAGCTTTAATACGCAGAAGCCAAGTAAGCTTTTTAAAGCAAAAGAATCCATAGTGAACTTGAAAATTGTAAAGAATTCAGCAGTCATTTTATACATTTTTGAAGTACGTTATGGAATCGCTTCATAGCGAATACATTCTGTTTATCCCCGCTGACAATTTCTTAATCATTACCGCCTTAATTAAAGTTATAAGAATTACCTTTTAATGTGTTTGTATTATAATATTTCTTTTATTTACAGTGACCTGCCTTTCTGATGTAAGCGCGTGTGCTGTAAGTTGTAAAACCGAACCACAGGCAAGACAAGATGAGGTAAGGAAGACCGTACAAAACGATCAACGATTTACCGTGAAGTTCTACCACCAAAATCTTTGTGTAAAACATATCGTCATCGCTGTCTTTTATATTTCACAAAGGATGTTCATTGTCGAAACATTAATTTAAAAACATAATGTTATGCTGTTGATTCTATTTGGTCAGGTTCGTGCTCTAGCGGAGGGTCTACGGCCGAATCAAGCCTGCGTTTCCGTTACTACTATAGACATGAATAATCCTTGTAAGTTTTTGTATTTACAACCGTAAGTTTCCATTACTGAAACTTGTACAAAAACATGTTTCTCTAAGAAAAAAAAATGGCCACAGGTCTGCGAATTACAGTCTCACATAGACCTGATAACCCGCCCCACTAAAGGTATGGTAAAAAGTGTACATAATAGACAAGTCGCCCAGGGCACTAGTAAACCTAAAACCAGTACTGATTAAATTAAAATTGGCAGAGAATAAACGTAAAAAATGCATGGATTGCATGAAAAAAGAAATGACACTCGAAATTATGGAACAGCAGTTGTCGCCAGCGACTCTGTCTGCGCGGAGTTAAAAAAAAGGTTAATTAGTAATCAATGTGTTCTATATGTATATCAAATTTCATTGATATTCGTTCAGCCGTTCCGGAGATACCTTTAAACAAGCATCCATAAATCTGGATCATGGAAATCTGGTGCGTTTCAATGCATGGAATAAACGACCTCAATTGTTACAGTGTCAGGTCCGGCTGTGATATCATTCGGTATGTATGCAGCGGTCACTGCAGTCCTGTTTCTGCAACTCGCCCTCGCAACAGTGGCGGCCGCATTGGCGATACTCAACGCAACTAAAAATCCCACCGAACCAATCTTCGGATTACCTGGTAATATTTGTATCTTAATCAAATGAGTTAACTAGCTGTCGCATGCACCTCAGTACGCGGAATTCAAAGAAATACAAAATTAGCTTATGTGTTCTTCCAGACTATGTCTATGTATGAGAAATTTAATCGTGATCCGTTCAGCCGTTATGAACCTTCAAACAAACAAACATTCACATTTATAATATAAGTAAGATATCATATAATTAACATATCAGTATTTTACGCAGCTACGATCCACAACCAAACACTGTGAGGATTTTAATAATTTCTTTTGCATTCTCAGGTTGTCTCTGGACGAATGTAGTGACAGCAATCTTGGGGCTAACAGTTCTGATGATGTTCGGCATCTACTGGGCGACATCTGGACTGAACCAGCACTTGGCTCTCTCCTACATTGCCGCTGAAGTATTCGCTCCTGATCCAAGTCTTGGTTATTCTTATTGGTAATACTGAAATTTACTAAAGTTAATGAAAAATTAAAAACCTAACTTACTATACCTTGATGAAACTCAGGACAGGGACCCTGATGGAATGACATCTCACTTGTTAAAATCTGTTTAGTCGTTTAGAGTACAGGAAGGCGTAAAAGAATTGACATAGGTACAGTCTGGTAATTTCACGGTGTTCCACTTACAGATTGCCTTCTTCCTTGCAACGAGATTAATTAGATAGTAGTGATTTGTCCAATAGATGTCATAACAGTAAAAAGCCTTGTACCACTAACCGACCTTCGTGTAGATACATTTAATAACTTAATTCTGTTATTGTTCCAAATCGTTGTCTCAATGAATTCAAAACGTTCAAACGAATGTCGCTTTTAAGTTGGAATACAGACAGTTTCCCTGATTGTACATTCAATTGATTTTTTTTGTAATTATTGTAAACATTTTCAGGTTATTATTGCCAGCTGTTTTCTGTTCGCTTACTAATGTGGGTCTGATTGAGCTTAGAAGATATTTATTAGAAAAAGACCCCCCACCCCCCACTATTAAAGTTGAGAATCATTCTGACGGCACAATATTCTTATATTAGTTTTAATTATGAGTATTATAATAAACATTTATTTATTAAAAACATATTTATTCCATAATAATTGTTTTGTTTATTAAAATGTTTACAAACATACGCCCCATTACATTTTTAGGAACAACGTACGTTTACTTTAATAAGTAACAGACGCTTTATTTGTCCAAGTACTTTTCCCACCCTTTTCTTATAAAGAAAATAACAGAAAGGGTAAGTGGATTTTGCGGAAGAGTAGGGAAGAGTAGAATTATCCTCTTTCTGTGCGACCTCTGCAACAATTAAAGGTTTATATGGGCAAAAGTCACTTCGCTATTTCGATGAACAAAGGTGACGGATCATTTGCCACCTCATGATATAAAAAACTCGCGGCCACGATCACGCGGCTAACTTTACGCCGAGTATTCTGTAACATACTTCATCATACGTTGTTGCACAAGAGTTTTGTCTGTGGAAACTCAAGTATGCGTAGCTTTTCGTTAATTTTATGATACGGTAATAAATCTCACAATGATATAATAGTTTCAAACGGAACGTCTACGGATGGGGGATGCCATTTATAACGCGGTGACAAGGAAACCCGATAAATCTATGAGATTTATGCGAGGTATGCTAATATTTTGTCAGATTTATGGTTTTATTTAAATATTTAAGAGTAAAAATTACTTTACAGGTATAAAAATAAGGTATATAATTCTAGATGCGTCTGTTTTTGATTGCTAATTGTGTAAGTACTAAAGAAAGTTAAAAAGAATTACATTTGCTAGCGACTCAGTCCACGCGAAATTAAAAAAAAACTTAATTAGTAACCTATATGTCCTTCCATACTATGGTCTACATCTAGGCCAAATTTCAGGGAGATCTTTACAGCCGTTCTAGAAATACCTTTACACAAACATACATTCATATAAACTTTCTCTTTAGTAAGATAAGGTGAATAGGTGAATGTTTTTCACTTTTCATCATCATCATCATAATCAGCCTAAATTCTTCCACTGCTGGACGTACGACTCCTCAATCGATTGCCACTATGCAAGGTCCTGTGCCGCCCGCATCCAGTACACTCCCGCAACCTTGACCAAGTCATCGGTCCATCATGCGGGAGGCCTACTTACGCTGCGTCGACCCGTCCGCGTACGCCACTCTAGGACTTTTCGGCCCCATCGTCCGTCCGTTCTGCGGGCAATGTGGCCGGGCCGACCCATCGCCACTTAAGATTTGCAATTCTTAGGGCAATGTCCACTTTTAGCAGCTATTAAAAGGTTAAACCTTTACAATGCGATCAAGGTTGAACTCAATTCAAGATCATTTAGTCTATAAGATCGTACGTATACATATATGGATTAGTTAATGTTCAGTGACGTATATGAACGTTATCTACAGTTCACAACTGACTAGACAGCGACGTAAACGACGTAATTACACGCTTTGATCAATCAACAGCTGACTGCCGACGTACTAACATTATGCTTTACATACACATAGAGCAATAGAGAGCGCAGTACAGCAATTGTATGCACATTCCTCGACAGTATAAACGTTACGGTGTAGGAAAACATCGTGATGCAACCTGCACATATCTGAGAAGAAATTCAAAGATATGTGTGAAGTCAAACAACCCGCACTTGACCAGCGTGGTTGACTATGGACTTCTCACTCGTGATTTAGGGTAGGCTCCGAGAGCCACGGTGGGGACGTATAGTGAGATGATGATGATATACGCTACGACTTAAGGTCCTTCAAGACGTAACGTATCATCTTCTAAAAGGCTGGGATGCATCTGAGGTTCTTCTGGTATTGCAGATGTCCATGGGCGTCGTTAACAGCCTGGTGTTCCCGCTGCTCGTTTGCCCCTTTATTTTATGTAATATTAAAAAAACTTACTGTTGAAACAGTAAGGAAAGGCCAGAAAAAGTAACATTCGATTAATAATGTCGGTACTTAAATTGTTAAAATATCTTACGCTATCAGAAATCAACAAATTACGAAAATTTTGGTTGATAACGTTACGAATACGTTCTCGTACAGTTTCGAAATAAGTTTCCTGTTTTACTTATTTATTCCTACATCCTATTCGTGTAAATTCGGCGTATTCGTGTAAATCAAGCCCTATCCTCGTGTGAAACAAGCAATACACGGTTTATGTAAATTCATTATAGTTAATATCCAATTTAAATAATCAGTACGCTAAATAAATAACTGTAAATAATTACACTGAGCTTTGTTTAAGTTCATCCATGGCACAAATTATCTTATCCTTAAAAAATGAAAGTTTACAAGGAAGAGTTAAAATTAATATCTTGGGAAGCTACGAATTTAACAAATTAATTATATTTCAACTTGACTGCATCGTAAATAACTTGATTTTAACTTTATCCAGCTTTAGAATGGAACATTGTATATAAATAACATCAAGTTTAAATGGATTTCCTATTATAAAGGATAATCAAATTCAAACTGTAAGTAAAAACAAACTTAATGCTTATCTATCTTCTTTTTAGGGTTCCGAACCCTTATAGGATAACTTTGTTGTCCGTCCGTCTGTCTGTCAGGACCCTTTTTTACATCATAAGCTCCGAAACGAGAAAGCAACCACTTGAATTCGCCGAAATAGCGAAGCGACCGCTGCCCATGGACATCCACAATTGCAGTGCTCTGCCTACTTAAAATCGACGAGGAGACGCAAAGAAAAGGAATATTTTCCCTTCCTATGCGTCTCCTCTTAACTTAACTAAAAAACTAAAATTAGGCCTCCGCAACTTTTACTAAAAAATTATAAATTATAATCATTATTTTATTTTTAATCAATGTAAGACTAAACTTTAGAAGCTACACTAACCGTTGATTTCTGAGAACAAATCTCTGCATAAAAATATCGTCGTCCCTGTCTTGACTAAACAGAGATAGCTATATATTTTAAATTGACATATTTGCCTCAGAAACCAACAGTAAATCGTTTATCAATTATTTGTAACAATATGATCTTATTCTAAAATAAATTCCTTTGAGAAAAACCTGGCTTTTGATAAAATAAGCTAAGCTTTTGTAACACAAATAACGAGCTTCAAGAAACGCCTTTTAAAGTAATAAATCTAATAAACAACCTTGAAACATTGCCGTTGAAAAATAAAAATGTTAACTCTCACACTTTCTAACCTACTGCGTTAGACAGAGACACCAACATAAATTTGTGGGAAAAAGTTGCAAAAGAGCAAATAATTGCATTAGCTATAATAGCGAATTAATAGCAGCCCGTAGACATCTGCATTTGCAGATGAATCGCCTACTTTTAATCGATCGAGGAGGAGACGTACAGAAAGAGGATATTTCCCTTTATAATCCCTTCCTATGCCAAATCCACCTTTCTTTCCTATCTCTTCTTTATAAGAACAAGGTGGACTAATATTAGGCTTCCGGCACGAACATTCATCAGATTGTACCCAGAATTACTACCACTTCACGCCAGTGTTTTCTGTGTGGTACCTCATTAGTCAAGCCAAGACATTCGTGCAAAAGTAGTTGCTGGCTTTACTACTGTTAATATATTTAGGCTTCTAATAAATTAGATTTCAATATTTTAGCATGTAAAGTATTAAACTTAATATTCTCTAGAGTGAAATTGAGTTGCATAAAAAATAAACGAATAACGTATAACAAGAAACTATAGAAGATTTAAACTGATATAAAAACGGCTAAACACTCACGTATATTCGTCCGGTGGCGGCACCGACTATTTTCGAGCCCATCGGGGGCCCTTCATCAGGGTGAGTGGGACTGGTATTATTTCGCGGACGCGGCCCTCAGCGCACTCCATCCGCGAAATAGTACCAGTCCCACTCACCCTGATGAAGGGCCCCCGATGCGCTCGAAAATAGTCGGTGCCGCCACCGGACAAATATACGTGAGTGTTTAGCCGTTTTTATATTAGTTTGTCATAATGTCTCACGAAAGTTTGAATAATTTTATAGAGGATTTAACAAAAAAACATTTATAAAGCATATTAAGTTCTATGTTCAAAAGCTTTAATAAAGCAAGGAGTCAACACTAAACTATCCCAAGCCTCGCATTATTGGGTTCAGTTTACACAAAAGCATCGCTTACTTACTAAGGAAACCGCAACAACGGAACTTAATATATTGCTATAATGTGCCACAAAATACGAGATGACGTCATCAGAGTACCAGAGACTTAACAAGACTTTGGTAACTAACATCTTACTAATATTATAAATGCGAATGTTTAGATTGATGGTTGTTCTATGAACATATCTCAAAAACGGCTGTACGGATCTCGCTGAAATTTGGCATATATACTCGTATATAGAACATTGTCTGAAAGAACAAATAGGCTACTAATTATAATATTATTTTGTAAATTCACCGGTATAGAGTCACCGGCGACAGCTAGTAATAAATAAGAGCTTCGGTGGCTCGGAGGTTAAGCCCTTGACTTGTAGTCTGCAAGGCTGCATCTTGGTCCTGGGTTCGAATTTATCGTTCGAATACATTTTCCGATGTTCTTACGGTGAAGGAAAACATCGTGATGCTGCACATATCTGCAAATGAATTTTAAAGATGTGTATGGCATACTCACTGACTTAGGGTAGGCTCTGAGCCCCTCAATGGGGACGTATAGTGAGCTGATGATGAAATAAAATAAAATAATTTCATTTTAATTAATTAATGAAATCATAGGAGAGTTAATATTCAGTTGGCATTTAATTATAAATGTATTATAAAGTCATGTTACAGGAACAATGAAATTCCATAAGCCACTGAAAATTCATAGTAGCTGAAGTTCGCTTGAGGAATAACTTCGCTTGAATTATGTAAGCTTTTCATCCTCATGAATGCATATTACGTTGCCTTTACTGCAATTAATTCCATCACGAAATTAACAGCGAACTATATTCTACTAACAAAATGGAGTCACGGTGATGATGACTTGGTAATCTACTGATCAATGTATGAATCTTACTTTTTAAATTGATTCATCATCATCATCATCAGCTCACTATATGTCCCCACCGAGGGGCTCGGAGCCTAC